GGCCTGACCAGCAATACTGTCCCCACCCATCAGGCTCAGGCTTATGACATTATTAACAAAAACCTAGTTTGACTTTGGCCCCCTTGGCTGCCTGTCTTTGGGCCCCACCCCCTCATCCTCAACCCCAGAGCAAGCCCAGCTTGTCAGGACTCTCAGTTCAGTCTGCAGTCTGTGCTGATAGGGGGCTTCACATCTCCACATGGCACTGGCTCCTGGCTCCAGCCCCCACCACCTGGGTAGGGTAGACATAATCCCTTCTTGGTAGTGGTATTTCTGAGTTCAGGACCCTGTCCCCCAAACACACACACACACACACACACACACACACACATCCCTCCATCAATCTCTCTGTTTCTTACTTGGCCCAAAGTCATTATGTCCATTTTTAAGTCTTAACTTTGCCTAGACGGGCTGTAAGTCTTTCCTGTGCATCTGCCATTCCAATAATGTTGCTGTTTTTCTATTCTCTCTCCCACAAATACACATAGGCTCAGGAGAGGGATCCCACTGGGTCCTCTGCTCATCCTTGACATCGGCCTTTAAGGTTAGGCCTATCTCAGCTTCTCTGAGTGCTTGTTGATGGATCTGTTGTTGGAAAATGTGTCAATGACCTTTTGAGTTAATTTCCAATTATTGGACATCTGCCCCTGACAGTCTGTGTAGTTTACAAAAAGAAAAAACAGGATTCAAAGGCCAATGTCTTTAGTCAAAGTCCATACTCTGGCATTGACTTGCTCTGCGACTTTAAATATAAGCCTCAGTTTCTTTACCAATAAAGGGGGACAGTGGTGACAACCTAGTGAGATAAAGACTGTGTACCAGTGTGTATCCAGTGCTGGGGCTATGATGTTATGACTCACTTCTTGGGGTGGTGACTCTCAGAAATCCATCCCTGTGGGGCCCTTAGAAATCCATGCCTGTGGGGCCCTGAGGGGCACATGCTCATTGTCCTATGCCTGCCCATATGCCACAGCATAGGGAGCCCCTGTGTCACCTGACTCGTAACCACACAGGCTGTCAGCCTCTGGTGGGGATCTGCCCTCCTCCTTCTCTCCCTTGCCTTCCCCTCCACTCCCCTCTAGAACCACCCCTGAGCCAGCCTGCCCATCCCAGGGGTCACAGTCCTGGGCAGCATTGGTGGGCCTGGGGAGTTTCTGGGTAGTGCAAGTGGGGGCCCAGCCCAGTCCTCACTTTGGGGACAGAGCTGCTTCAAGACTATCTTCCTTCTATGGTGTTTCAAGGGTCCTGTCCTCATCACCCCCCACTTTGTCCTTATCTGCCCCCAGGGACACCAAGCTAAGGGAAGAAAGCTGCCCCCCAGCATTTGTGGGAGCAATGCTGGGGACCTGGGAGAGGGGCACTAAGGCGGCTGAATCCTCACCCTAGGCTGTACAGAAGGGTGCTGAGCCATCCTGGTGTGGTGTCCAGGATAGAGGTGAGTGGGGGAAGGGGTTGGCTGGGGTGCCTGACTCCTGGGGCTCCTAAGGAACCCCCTAAGTTGGAGGGAGAAGAGTCCCTCCATTCTATGGGAGGAAGGAGGCTCAGGGTTGGTGGAGCTGTGCCGACTGTGGGCAGTGGGGAGGGTCTGGAAAAGGTGGCCCCAGGGTGCTTTTCTCTTGGGGGTTGGGGGAAAGTTCTGGGGTACAGAGCAGGGAGGGAAGGGAGCCCAAAGATGCTGAGACATCTTCCTTCACCCATTTCTGCCCCCCAGCACCTGCTCCTGGAGGAGATGGATGAGATGGGAAACTGGCCACCAGAGTGAAACTGGTGCTGGCCCCAAGTCTGCCCTGCCCCCAGATCCCTGGAGCCAGTATATAGGGACAGATGTCTCTCTAGGTCCCATCCAAGGAGGCCCTAGGTCCAGGGGTCTTGAGGGAGCAGTTTACACATGTCTGCAGGGTGGGCCTGACCAGCAATACTGTCCCCACCCATCAGGCTCAGGCTTATGACATTATTAACAAAAACCTAGTTTGACTTTGGCCCCCTTGGCTGCCTGTCTTTGGGCCCCACCCCCTCATCCTCAACCCCAGAGCAAGCCCAGCTTGTCAGGACTCTCAGTTCAGTCTGCAGTCTGTGCTGATAGGGCTGCTAGGGCTACCCTGGCTGCGGACTGGAGGGATCGCAGCAAGGCCTCTGAGCGGGAGTAGCAGGAGGTTTGGTGGCCCGACCTGGAGTGGGGAAGGACCCACGGCCCAGAGTGCCAGAGGAGCTCCTGCTGCCCACAAGCCCTGCCCCTAGTAGGAGAAGCATCCCTGACTTCCCTCCCTCCCTAAGTTCCCAGGCCATGCTGTGGCCTCACAGTGAGGATCCGGGAATTCTCCAGCAGGAAGTTCCTGCCCAGCCAGCCCAGGGACAAAGCCAGGAAAGAGGCCCTGGGACCATGGAGACCTGCCTCAGGAGGGCTGGTCTGGGGGGGGGGGGGCAGACAAGGGGTCCCTGGGATTGATGCAGGAGGGGTGGCTCCCCAGGCTTGGGCACCAATCCCTGCAGGCCCGTGCTAGAGGGACGGCAGGGTAGGGCCCACTCTGTGCCATGCTCAGGGCTGGGCATTCCC